AAAGAATATTTGAGTCCCGCTGCAGAGCTCAGTCCACAGTAAGACGCACTCTTTATTATCTGTGTATCTGTTTTACTGCTCTTTAGTCTTTATGCTTTCAGAAGTGCGTTGAGTCTCAGTCAGTGTAGCGTGTGAGGGTGTGGGTGTGTGAGTGAGAGTGTGGGTGTGTGACCGACTGTCAGTAAACTCAGTTGAGATCATGCACAGATACTGGGGCTGCAGTCTTAAAGGGACACTACGCTTTTTATAAGTATTTTAAGGGAATATTCTCATTTTAAAGCTCCACTAAAGTTAAACATGCGAGTTTTACCATTGAACCCATTCATTTATGCACTCTTAGCTTAGCATACATAATTGAATCGTATTAGACCATTAGCATATCTCTAAAAAATGTAAATAAACAAATGTTTAGATAATTTTCCTATTTAAAGATTTACTTTTCTGTAGTCACATTGTGTACTAAGATTGATGAAATGTTGATATTTCCTGGGCTTATATATTGGCCACTTTATTAGGTACACCTTACTGGTACCAGGTTGTACTCCCTTTTGCCTTCAGAACTGCTTTAATCCTTCATGGCAGAGATTCAACAAGCTACTGGAAATATTCCTCAGAGATTTTGCTCCATGTTGACATGATAGCATCACACAGTTGCTGCAGATTTGTCGGCTGCACATCCATGATGCCAATCTCACCACATCCCAAAGCTGCTCTATTGGATTGAGCTCTGGTGACTGTGGAGGCCATTTGAGTACAGTGAACTCATCGTCATGTTCAGCAGTCTGAGATGATTGAGCTTTATGACATGCTGCGTTATCCTGCTGGAAGTAGCCGTCAGAAGATGGAGACACTGTGCTCATAAAGGGATGGACATGGTCAGCAGCAATACTCAGGTAGGCTGTGGCGTTGATGCTCAATTGGTACTAATGGAGCCAAAGAAAATCTCCCCCACACCATTACGCCACCACCACCAGCCTGAACCGCTGATACAAGGCAGGATGATCCATGCTTTCATGTTGTTGAGGCCAAATTGTGAGCCGAGCATCCGAATGTGTCAGCAGAAATGGAGACTCATCAGAGCAGCAACGTTTCTCCAATCTTCTATTGTCCAGTTTTGGTGAGTCTGTGTGAATTGTAGCCTCAGTTTCCAGTTTCCTCAGTTTCCAGGTGTACCTAATAAAGTGGTCGGCGAGTGTATGCATTTATTTTGGCATAATAATCAAGGAATTTTGCTGCTGCACCATAGCTGTTGCAGCGTAATGACATGAAAATAGTCCTCAGCTAGGTAGCTTCCAGCGATATCCAATTTTCAGGTATTGTGTAATGCCATTGCATTGCTATAGCTATGGTACAGCAGTAAAACTCCTTGAATATTATGCCAGAAAATGGAGTATAGTTCCTGTCTTATCTAAATAACAGTTGCCAAATAGCAACTTTTCATTTTCCCTCAGTCAATGAAACTACAGAAGAGTTGAGCTTTAAATAGGAAAATTATAAAAACTATTTGCTCATGTTTTGAGCGAGATGCTAACGGTCTAATCCGATTCAATGATCTATGCTATGCTAAGCTAAAAGTGTTTGCGGAGATCGGCTGAATGGATTCAAAATTGTAAAACTCAACTGTTTAGCTGAAGTGCTGAACAAGTTGAGCATCATTTCTATAAAACTGGGTGACTTTTTATATAAAGTAGCTGGAATTATATCATCACAGGCTCATTCTTCCCATCAGCTATCAGACTATTAAATAGATAATCAACGTACATAACAGTCTCTTTTTATGCTCAGTACAACACTACATACTCCATCCCATTTTGCACTATTTTATTTTTTATTTTATTTTATTTTATTTTTAATTTTTTTGCACATAATCCAATTGCACTAGGCACTTTTGCATAATAAGCACAATAAAAAAAATAAATAAATAAATAAAAAAAAAAACACTGTACATTGTTTACATCTGTTTTTATTACTCAAATCAGGTTTACATATTGTTTACTTTCATAGATATTTATATACTTACATTTTATAATCATACTTCAGTCACTTTTGTGTATATATGTGTATTTATGTGTATGTTGTGTGTATGACTTCACTGTGGACGGCAAAGTAAGAATCTCATTGTACAGGGAGACGTGTTTCCTTACTGTGCACATGACAATAAACAGTTGAATTGAATTGAATTGAATTGGGAACACAGTCGATAGAAAGCTGATATTTTATGCATGACGACAAAATGAAAAACTTTAATATGCTCAAAAACATACACATGAATTTAGGAGGAATGGCATATGAGAAAACGTGCCCGAGTAACGTTTCTGAGATTGTTAAAAATGTACTTGGTGCCCTCTTGTGGATTTTGTAAAAACAATACCTGCGTCCCAAATCGCATACTTATGCACTATTCTACGCCATTTTGTAGTATGAATAGTGTAAGTTTTACGTTCACACTGAAAACTCTAATAATAATAAGTGCACTTTAATTACCCAGATGCTGCACTCATTCAGCCGGTAAAGTGAAGTGTGTAATGATGGACACTTCACACACTCAACGACCGCAGGTTTGCTCACGTAGCGTTAGGGGCGGAGCTATCGGCCGCACATGTTGGATCACTTTATTTATTTTGGATGGTGAAGGCAAAATTCTCCTATGAGAGTGATTATAGCGCCTCCTGATGGTGAATGCGGTTATACTCACGGCAGGTGTTATTTGATAATTCGGTCGTTTATTTCACTGATTTGGTGACCGTCAAACGCCATCAGGGAAACGGTTTGAATTTCCACCTTGTAAAAATACATTAGTGTTTGGGACGACACTACACACATATACTATCCTGTTGAGTGTGTAAGTGCATAAGTACATCGTGCATGAGTGTGCCATTTAGGACGCAGCTAAGAACTATAAGAAAATGTATTTGTTGGTTATTGAAATGTAGCGCTGGCCACATATTTCCAGTGAGCCTGGGTTGAGTTATATGCATAAACACATGCGACACTTACTTCAGCTTGGAGGCCAGAAATACCTCCGCTGCAATAACTGCTGCTATTAATAATTGTACGCAGAGAAACGTTTGAGTTGCTGTCAGCTTTGTGCTGCTCTACAGCATCAATCAGTCAGTGCTTCCTCTTCTGGGTTTGTGTTGAGGCGTGTGTGACCTGCCTGCGTTACAGTATATACTTCATTTACGCTTCACACACTATGCAAAGATGTTCTTTCTCAGCACAAATATCTTAGTGTTCCTAAAAACATCGGTTAAACTATATTTTAAGGTATAACTCTCGCTATTAACAAACCGTTAACCAAGACTTTTGCCTCCATAATAATAATAATTAGCTGCCTATTAATAGTCATGAGCAGTTGGGTTTATGTATTGGTTTGTATTGATGTAGATCAGGGAGTCTCATTAAGACTTAGCCTTTGCATTAAGGCTAATTGAATAAAATAATCAGAAAGCAGGTGGCATGGTGGCTCAGTGGTTAGCACTCAGCAAGAAGGTCACTGGTTCGAGTCCCGGCTGAGTCAGTTGGCGTTTGCATGTCTAAACACGTGCGCTATAGGGGAATTGATGAACTAAATTGGCTGTGGTGTGTGAGTGAATGAGTGTGTATGGGTGTTTCCCTGTACGGGATTGCAGCTGGAAGGGCATCCGCTGTGTAATACATATGCTGGAATAGTTGCCAGTCATTCCAATACGGTGACCCCTGAAATGGAGACTAAATGATCAGAAACCTTATTGTTCTCTCTACTTAATTGTCTCCTGGAGAATCTGCTGTCGTAAAAGCAAAACTGAAATCATGACTTACTTGTCATTCCTTACTGATATACAGTCCAACGAATGCTGCATTCGTTCCTGCTGAAGCACAAAACACACACACACACACACACACACACACGTTTGTTTTTGTGAAAAGTGGGCACGTTACATAGGTTTCCATTCATTTTATACTGTGCAAACCGTATATTATATTGCCCTCACCCCATTCCTAAACCCAACCATCACAGGAGACAGTGCAGCTTTACTCTCTGATTAAACTCACCCTGTGTGATTTATAAGCTTTTCGAGAACCAGGACGTCACCAATGTCCTCATATTTCACCTCTTTTTTGTAATACCTGTGTTATACCCATGTCATTATACAGATTTGTGTCCTGATATGTCACAAAAACACGTACACACACATACACACTTTTCAAAAGTTAACCTTAAAGGTGTACACACACCTAAAATAGCTTGTATATAAAGCGGAAGAGATCATTCACAGTTAAATAAAGGCTGTTTTCTGCACTGAAGACGCTGGAATATCCTCTGGTGATAAACGAATGCGTGAAGCTCCCTCAAAGTGTCCTGCTCTCACTCTTGGTCAATGTTTTACTCGGATAATAGGGCTTATTTGACTGCATGTACAGTAACAGACGGTGAGAGAGGTTGTAGAAGGTCAATAATAAAGAGTAATCAGACCTCATGTACATATGCTGAAGTGTGTGTGTGTGTGTCGTTGTCATATATAGATATACAAATGTGTATAATGTCATTGGTATTTTCTTTTAAAAGTACACTAAGCAGTAGGTTTGAAATCTTTTATTTATCGTAATGTGTCCTGTAGGGTAGTGTCTTTGAGTGTTTGTGTGCTTTTGAGTGTGTGTGTGTTGCCATACATGTGTATAATCGACTTAATAAGCACACTAAACAGGCTTTTAAGGTGTGTGTTATGATGTATGGTTGGGATTTATGACAGATCAAACTGTTTATACAGTATCAAAGCATCATATTCATGTACCAATTATATTTGTGTGTGTGTAGAGGCAGTGTGAAGTGTGTATGGGTAATTGTGATCCAGTATTGCAGGCCTCTGTGGGGATTTTAAGCAACATCTCCTCTCGTGTTTCAGCATTTGGGCATGCTCAGTTTGAGCTTCACCGTCTGCAGATGAGGGTTCAGATGAGAACGCAGGAGCGACGAACAGACAATTCCCAACTAATCTGGTCTTTCATTTCTGTTGCAGGATAATCTCTCATAACACAGACAGCCATGGCAGGTGAGCATTTACTCAGCATTTACACTACTCTCTGTTTTGAAGGGGTTTTTCTGACTGATCTGGAGTCAGTAGAGTGTTTAGATGAGCAACACACACATGTACACAGCCAGCTCTGTAGACCACAGTGTCCAGATCTCTGTATTTCTTATGTGCAAAACCAAATGTAGTGTTGTATGTGTGAAAAATAGTCCTGTGGCTAAATTAATTACCTGTGAGTGCGAGTGTGTGTCTAATTAATTCATAACCTTATTGCGTTGCCAGATATAGTCATTATAAACGCTGTGCCTTTGGAAATTGCATCTTTATATGTTATTATACTGACAGCAGAATAAAGTTGGGGTGGCACGGTGGCTCAGTAGTGTCGCTGTTTGAGTCCCAGCTGAATCAGTTGGTGTTTCTGTGTGGAGTTTGCATGTTCTCCCTGTGTTGGCGTGCGTTTCCTCCGAGTGCTCCGGTTTCAGTCCAAACACATGCGCTATAGGGGAACTGATTGGCTGTAGTGTGTGTGTGTTTGGGAGAATGAGTGTGTATGGGTGTTTCCCAGTACTGGGTTGTGATTGGAAGAGCATCCGCTGTGTAAAACATACGCTGGAATAAGTTGGAGGTTCATTCCGCTGTGGCGACCCCTGATGAATAAAGGAGAATGACTCAAACCAGCGACCTTCTTGCTGTGAGGCCACAGTGCTGACCACTGAGCCAGCGTGCCGCACAATATTTCGTGGTATTGCTTTTGTTTGTTCTTTGTATAAATATCTGGCAACACAGAATTCATGACAGAAATGAAAACACTGTATGTCGATGATCTGCTCGCAGTTCATTAGGTTTAGTAGTCAGCTGACCGTTTACAGGGGAATCAGGCTGAACTCATACACATTCATTGTACATTTATACAAATCCGGTATTGTAGAGCAAGTTGTCTTTCATCCTTCACACAACAGATCTTATTCATGAAAATTAATATTGTGGAACCCTTTAACACACCCCAGACCTCACGGATTTCCAAACACTGGCCAAACACACACACACACACACACACACACACACACCTCCTAATAAAGGGGCCGCTGGCAGATTGAGACGAACAGCAGCTCTGACCTTTACACACACTTAACTTTACTCACCCACTGGGTAATTGTACGACACACACACACACACACTCAAAAGAGTGCTGTCGTTCACTCAGTATTTCTGGTCTCTGGTGCCCTCATGTGGACATTCAGTGTGTTGCAGGAGATTCACTTCCAGAATCAGGGGACGCCCCCACGGCCACCCTTGTATAAATTCTGGCCGCCCCTGTGGCCATTCTAATATGATTTAGTTGTTGATATTATTAATTTAAATGTACTTGGGTAAATTCACAATATTTCAGTAAATAGATTAATTAATTAATTAATAAAATGAATCCTCTAAATTATTGTGGACGTGGCGGATTCACTGAGATTGCACACTTTGTATTAAGAAATTATTATTTTTTAAATTAAAAAGTCGCGTTTTATCTGAATGAAAACCACAAATACAAAATAAATAAATAAATGCGTTTTGAAATCAGCTCTTCAGAATCTAGTTTATTCAGCAACTCCATTATATTGCTGGTTGACTTAAAAGGGCCAAAAATCTCAATGATTTTGTGTTTGTATTTTGCAAAAAGGTACATCAACAGAAGAATATGTATTAATAATATTGTGGCTCAAAAAGGAGCATGGATGAATGATGGTATTGGGTGTGTATAGTGAGTGTTTGTGTGTGTGTATGTAGTAATGCCTTTGGTATGCTGTACATGTGCAAAATAACTCACCTGAAAGGTTTTTTTAAACTAAATATTGATTTTTATTTGGTTTGCATGTCTACTTGCTGAATTATTTCAAGTAATAAATTGCAATATTTCAAGAGTTATTAATGAAATTAATTAAAATACCAGAAACAGAAATATAACATTGCTCTTTATTCACAATATATGCACAATTCATGTGTGCCACCCCGTGATTTGATGTGTGCCTTAGTTGGCCAGCCATAAGAAAAATGTTCTGGGGGCGCCACTGTCCAGAATAAACTTTTCCTGATCATTTTTTTTTTTTTTTTTTAGCCTAAATAGAGTTTATTGAGGAAAACATGCAGAATTTTTTTCAATATAGTGGACATAAGGGGCTCAGACTACAGTTTCAGTCCAGCTTTTAAGTCCCGGTGATAATATATGATCCTAATGAGGAAAAAGAGTCTTCTCTAGAGAAATGATGTATTAATTATTAATTAATTAATTAAATTATTTATTTATTTATTTATTATTTGATTAATTAATTAAATAATCAATCAATCAATCAATCAATATATAAATAAATATATTTATTTATTTATTTATTGATTGATTTATTGATTTATTAATTAATTAATTAATTAATTAATTAATTAATTAATTAATTAATTTATTTATTTATTTTTATTTATTTATTTATTATTTAATTAATCAATCAATCAATCAATATATAAATTTATTTATTTATTTATGCAGACAAAAATTTGATTAACAGCATGGAGAGAAATTTTATTTAGCAATATTTTATTATTATTTTATTTTGTATCTGTAAATAAAAATCTCATATTTATTTTATATTTCTACAAAATAATTACATATGAATCAGTGCATTTCCAAGTACATCATTTGAAAACGTCATATTCTGTTTATATATATAATATATATATAATATTTGTTTATTAATATTTTTAATAATATTTATATATATATAATATTTCTGAAATGTATTATTATAATATATATTCTTCTATAATTTATATAGTATATGAAATGTTTATATATATGATTTACATTGAGGTATGAGCATTTTGTCAAATATATATTTAGATGACAAGTAAATTAACAGGCAATCTTTCATCTGAAAGTGTTAATTTATTAATTAACTGCTCATATCAGTCATAAACAGGATAAATACAGTATACTTTCATCTCTTGCATTGTTTTATATGTATCATGATGTATGTGTGTATGTTGTTGTTATGGTAAATCTGGACAGTTTGCGTTCATGATCAGAACTATGTTGGCAACAGTTGCCATGGCGATCTGAAGCATTCAGAAGTACCTGAAGGAAACACACTCACACACACATATACACACACTTTCTATCAGTGTGAAGCAGAAATGGGTTTAGGGTGCTCCAGTAAATCAGCAGCCGCTGTCATGAAGCCAGACGGTAAATGAATCATAATTTAATGATAATGATATGAGTTAATAATCAATAACTCCACATCATAGCAAACCCTCACTCATGCGCTGTATTTCTGACTGACTGTCTCATTGTTTTACAGATAAAATCAAAAATGCTAAGATCGTCTTTGTTGTGGGTGAGTTGAACTGAAGAGGCATGTTTTGGCGAATGTGTAGAAAATAAACATGATGTGTGATTATAAATGTTGATCATAAGCACAGAATTACTACATAATGCAGTATAAAAGTTCAGTCTTCATTTAGATATTTGCTGTTATTATGCTGAGATTGTTTTAACTTTTTAAAATTTGTTATTATTTATATTAATATTCATATTATTTATTTCATAATTATTTCTCTTACATTTTTAAATGTGCTTGAATGTCAATAATCTACAAGTCATAAAACATGAGAAACTGTACAGTTGAAAGCAGAAGTGTACATACACTCTAAAAAAATATAAGTCTGATTGTAACTCATACTGAATGTTCACTATTTTAGGTCTGTTAGGATTAACTAAATGATTTAATTTGCTAAATGCCAGAATAATGAGAGAATTTGTTATTAATTTCTAGACAGTCAATAGTTTACACACATTTCCTTGGTATTGTTTAGCTTTGCTTTTAAACTATAACTCTGGTCAAATGTTTTGGGTCTCCGTCCACAAGCTTCTCACAATAGTTTACAGGAATTTTGGCTCATTCCTCCTGCAGAATTGCTGTAACTGAGTCAGATTTGTAGGCTGTCTTGCTCACACACTCTTCTTCAACTCTGCCCACACATTCTCTATAGGATTGAGATCAGGGCTTTGTGATGGCCACTCCAAAACATTCACTCTGTTGGCACATTTGAACTGATTTGGCAGTGTGTTTAGGGTCATGGTCTGTTAGGAAGAGCCATTTGTGGCCGAGTTGTAATGTCCTGGCTGATGTGTTGAGATGTTGCTTCAGTATTTCTCCATGATGTTCTGTCTTCATGATGCCATCTATGCTGTGAAGTGGACCAGTCCCTCCTGCAGCAAAACAGCCCCACAACATGATGCTGCCGCCCCCATACTGCACAGTTGGGATGGTGTTCTAGGCTTGTGCGCTTTCCCCTTTGTCCTCCAAATGTAACACTGCTCATTGTGGCCAAACAGTTCAATCTTAGCTCCATCAGAGCACAGGACATGTCTCCACACATTAGTCTATTCCCCAGTGTCATTCAGCTAATTGTAATCTGGCTTTGTTGTTGATTTTGGCTTATTGTTTTCCTATGTTGTCACACAAGGAAGCAGTGTGTTTGAGCACTGAGTCAATACTATTCTACAGTTGTGCCTCACATTAACTCAAATGTTGTCAATCAGCCAATCAGAAACTTCCAAAACCCTGACATCATCATCTGAGCTTTATCACAGGCAGAATAATCTTACTGTGTGTAAACTTGACTTTCAAGAAGAGTTATAACAATTCCTCAATAAATATCTCTCATTATTCTGCTATTAAGCAGAACAGAAACACACGTGATCATCCTCACTTATCTAAAACAGTTTAGAGAAACAGTTTAGTCACATTAACATCTGACTTCTTTAATGGTGGTGTGCCATTTTATACAGTGGATGTAAACTTCTGCTTTCAACTGTATCAAAACATGCCACAGATTTAGGAACTGACATCATTGATAATGGAGAGTCGTGTGTGTGTGTGTGTCTGTGTGTGTGTGGTCAGGTGGTCCCGGCTCTGGAAAGGGCACTCAGTGTGAGAAGATCGTGGCCAAGTACGGCTACACTCACCTGTCCTCAGGTGACCTGCTGCGCGCGGAGGTGGCGTCCGGTTCAGAAAGAGGCAAGCAGCTGCAGGCCATCATGCAGAAGGGAGAGCTCGTGCCTCTGGTCAGTCACACACACACACACACATATATATATATATATATATATATATGTATATATATATATGTATATACTACAGGACTGTGTGCATGTGTGCTTCAGTGTGAGTGTGTGTTCATGCTTGTGTCAGTCTATGTCGCTCTTGTCGCTGTTAGTCTATGCTGACATTATCTTCAGCAGCTCAAACACTCTAATGGCTAATGGACAGACGGCTGCTTCTCACTCAGGGCTGCTGGAGATGCATGAGGGAGAGATGGGCACTAGTGGGCGGGGCTTTCCCCCCTCTCATGACCTGTACAAAAGGAGAATGTCAATCAAAGTGTGTCAATTCAGCAACTTAGATAATAACAAACACAGCTCATGTTGACCATTAGAGGCTGCTGGAGATACTCACACACAACTGGGTTTAATTCCTGTTAATAGGTCTCCTGACGCAGAAGATACAGTAAATTGTTTTACTTTTTGGCACATGCATATTATATAGAGGCTCAGAGAGCTCCAGGGTTTCATCTAAAATGTCTAACCAAGCGGATCTGTTCTGATGTTTTCTCACAAGTCATTGATGAACGACTGACGGTGTTTTATTTCCTGCAGGACACCGTTCTGGACATGATCAAAGACGCCATGATCGCCAAGGCTGACGTCTCTAAAGGTTACCTGATCGACGGATACCCTCGAGAGGTCAAGCAGGGGGAGGAGTTTGAGAAGAAGGTAGAAGAGTGTCAGAAAACATGCTTCTGACATGTTAGCCATATTGTAAAACATGCTAGATGCATAATTGCTATGTTTAGCAAAAGGCTAGCAACATCTTAAAACAAGCTGCTAACAATTTAATATTCTAAAACTATAGACAACAGCAATGTGCTAAAACAATTAGCATTATGTTAGCAACATTCTTAAACAAGCTACTGACATGTTAGAAAAATTAGAAAACATGCCAGACATATAGCAACAATGTGCTAATACAATTAACAAAATATTAGCTTACAAAATGCTAGCAACATCTTAAAACATGCTGCTAACATGATAATATTACGAAACATGATAACTAGGTGAAATAACGCAATAGCTTAGCAACATTTTAAAACATGCTACTAACATGTTAACAATACTGAAAAAAAATGCACATAATAGCAGTTTGGAAAAAGATCTAGCAATATGCTACAACATGCTAGCAACATCCTGAAACCTGCTACTAACATGTTAACAATATTGTAAAACATCACACACAATAACTTGCTAAAACAATAAACAATATGTTGACATGCAAAATGCTAGCGATATGTTAAAACATGCTACTAGCATGTTAGCAATTTTGTTAAAAACATGCTAGATACATAACAATGTGCTAAAACACCTAGCAATATGCTATAACATGCTAGAAACATCGCAAAACATGCTACTAACATGATAACAATTTTGTAAAACATGTTAGCAATATTGTAAATCATGGCAGACAAATAACAATGATGTGCTAAAAGAATTAGCAATATGTTAGCATACAAAATGCTAGCAATATTTTAAAACATGCTACTAACATGTTAGCAAAAAAATGTAAACATCATTCACACATAACAGCAGTGTGTTAAAACATAATGTAATAATCTAAAACATGCTAGTGACAGTCTAAAACATGCTAGCAATATTGTGAAACATGCTAGACACTTAATAGTAGTGTGTTAAAACACTTATTAATATGTTAAATGCTAGACATATTTTAGCAGTGTGCTAAAACAGAAGGTAATATACTTAAACATGCTAGTAACATTCTTAAACATGCTACTAATGTTAGCAATATTGTAAAATGCGTTAGTAATATTGTAAATCAAGCTAGACAGATAACCACAATGTGCTAAAACAATTAGTATAATGTTAGCAACATTCTAAAAACATGCTACTAACATGTTAACAATTTTGTAAAAACATGCTAGACGCATAACAGTGTGCTAAAACTCCCAACAGTATGATACAACATGCTATTAACATCCTAAAACGTTCTGTTAACATGTTCGCAAGATTATAAACATGTTAGACAGATAATAGCAATGTGCTAAAACAATTAGCACCATCTAAAACATGCTGCTAACCTGTTAACAACCTTGTAAATCATAGTAGACACACAACAACAGTGTGTTAAAACAGCTAGCAATATGCTACAACATGCTAGCAACATCCTAAAACATTTTACTAACTTGTTCGCAAGATTATAAAACATGCTAGACAGATAATAGCAATGTGCTAAAACAGTTCACAAATGTCACCACAATTTAAAACACGCTACTAATGTTATCAACATTGTAAAGCATCCTAGACGCATAATAGCAATGTGCTAAAACACAATGTAATGTACAAAAACATGCTAGTAACATCCTAAAACATTTTATTAACATTAACAAGATTACAAAACATGCTCGACAGATAATAGCAATGTGTTAAAACAATTAGCAAATAAGTTACCAACATTTTAAAACATGCTGCTAACTTGTTAATAATATTTTAAAACATAGTAGACACATAACAACAGCTAGCAATATGCTACAACATGCTAGCAACCTCCTAAAACACTTCTAACATGTTCGCAAGATTATAAAACATGCTAGACAGATAATAGCAATGTGCTAAAACAGTTCGCCAAATCCTCAACATTTTAAAACATGATGCTAATGTTAGTAACATCTTAAAGCATCCTAGACACATAATAGCGGTGTGCTAAAACAACGTAATGTATGAAAACATGCTAGTAACATCCTAAAACATTCTATAAACATATTCACAAGATTATAAAACATGCTCGACAGATGATAGCAATGTGCTAAAACAATTAGCACCATCTTAAAACATGCTGCTAACTTGTTAACAATATTGTAAAACATGGTAGACAAATAACAATAATGCGCTAAACAATTAGCAATGTTAGCAGTATGCTACAACATGCTAGCAACATCCTAAAACATGCTAGTAACATCAGACAAAACAACTCAACATTTTAAAACATGCTACTAATGTTAGCAAGATTGTAAAGCATCCAAGACGCATAGTAGCAGTGTGCTAAAACACAACGTAATGTACGAAAACATGCTAGTAACATTCTAAAACATGCTGCTAACATGTTAGCAATATTAATGAGTGTGTGTGAGTTATCTGTTGGTGTTTTTCTGTCGGTCAGATCGGCGCTCCGGCTCTGCTGCTGTATATCGATGCTAAAGGCGAGACGATGGTGAAGAGACTGATGAAGCGCGGAGAAACTAGCGGCCGCGCAGACGACAACGAGGAGACCATCAAGAAGCGTCTGGATCTGTATTATAAAGCCACAGAGCCCGTCATCGCCTTCTACGAGCAGCGCGGCATCGTCAGGAAGGTGCGCAGATAACACTGACATGCTCAAACATGATTCACGGCAGTCCTGCTTCACTAGTGTCCAGCTGAATTAAGGACTTGTCTCTCTCTTTTCCTCCAGATAAACTCGGAGCTGCCCGTGGACGAGGTGTTCGCTATTGTAGAGAAAGCTATCGATGAGCTGAAGTAAACAACACTTGACCACCAGATCCTGTTTGCTGTTTCTTTTACTGCTGCTCTCATATTTGCACCCTTGCACACTACTGAGGGAGCACAAGCACACTGGTGAAGGATCACTGGCACTCTGCACACCACCGTGGCAACACATGCACGTTTTTCAAGATGCACACTGCTAAGGGATCACATGCACACTGTTAAGGGATCACCTGCATGCTGCTGAGGGAACACATGCACACTGGTCAGATGAGCCCTTAGCAAGATGCACATGGCTAAAGGAGCATGTGCACACTGCTAAGGCAGTGTCTGCACACTGCTGAGGGAAGACATGCATAATGCTAAGGGATTGACTGCACACTGCTAAGGGATCGCCTGCACACTTTTCAGGGAACACCGGCACACTGCTGAGGGAACACCTGCATACTGCTAAGGGATCACATTCACACTGCTAAGGGAAAACATGCACACTGCCAAGGGGTCACCTACACACTGCAGAGGGAACACATGTGTACTGCTAAGGGATCCCCTGGACACTGTTGAGGGATCGCCTGCACACTTTTGAGGTGTCACACCTGCACACTGCTAAGGGACCACATGCACACTCTTCAGGTGATCTCGTAGCAAGATGTACACTGTTGAGGGAACACATGCATACTGCTAAGGGATCACATACACACTGTTCAGGTGATCATATAGCACGATGCACATGGCTAAGGGAGCACATGCACACTGCTAAGGCGTCATCTGCACACTGCTAAGGGATGCCAGTACACTGCTAAGGGATCAGCTGCACACTATTGTGAGCCCATGCTCCCTGCTAAGTAACCACCTGCACTCTGTAGAGGGAACAAATGCACACTGCTAAGGGATTACTTGCACACTGTTAAAGGAACGCCTGCAAACTGCTAAGGGATTACATTCACACAGCTAAGGGAACAAATGCACACTGCTAAGGGACCACATACACACTGTTTAGGTGATCTCTTAGCAAGATGTAGCCTGATAAAGGCTCGTCTGCACACTGATGAGGGATCACATGCACACTGCTGAGAAAACACCTGCAAACTGCTAAGGGATCATCTGCACACTTGTGAGCCCATGCTCACTGCTAAGTAACCACCTGCACTTTGCAGAGGGAACACATGCACACTGCTAAGGGATCATCTGCACACTGCTAAGGGATCATCTACAGACTGCAGAAGGGAACATATGGACACTTCTGAGGAAACACCTGCACACTACTTAGGGAACACATGCACACTGCTAAGGGATCACCTACACACTGCAGAGGGAACACATGCACACTGTTCAGGTGATCTTTTAGCAAGATGTATAAATGAGCGGTCAGTGTACATACACACACACACAGATAGACATACACACACACACACACACACACACACACACACACACACTCACACACTCCTCTGAGGGCCCTGAGGAAACACAGGAGCCGCTCACAGACACTTTCTCTTTGTTGAATGTGTGTTTTGTGGTGACAGTGGCCCCGGGGCCCGCTCAGACAGACACACACACACAGCAGAGCTTCCTGCTATTGAGTGTGTGGATGCTTTACGTGCAAGAACACACACATCACATACCGCTTTGAACACTAAAGGCCACACACACTCCACTATGGCTTATTAATAGAGTCTACACTTCCTGCTTCACTTTCTTTACTGCTGCAGTCTTTCTTGATTCTCTGTGAAACATCTGAATCAAAGGACTCTGAATCAAATGACTCTTTTTTTTTTTTTTTTTTTTTTTAAAGAGGTCAATCAAATACAATTACATACATAGAGACAAATAATACAAATAAATAAACAAATGCACAGAAATACACACAAAGACAAATAAACGCCAGGGTAACAAAAATAGGACTGATGAAATAAAGTTACATCTTAAAGAGACACAAAAGAAGAATATAAGGATACCGTTTTTGTTGCTTTTGGATGAAGAGAATGCTGGATAGTTTCCAAATATTGGTCTAGGTCGATTTTGAATAGATCAAAAAAAGGTTTAGAGCCACTAAACTTCTGTTTGTGAATATGAAACTTGGCTAATAGAATACACAAATTAACTACATATACTTTTTCCATGTTTTCTTTTGAGTCATCAAATAATCCAAAGAATATAACTTTAAAAGAAAAGGAAAAGTCACTCATAATATAAGATTGAATAAAGATCAACAAATCTGACCAGAATCTCTCTGTGAAGGAGCACTGCCAGAACAAATGAATAGAGTCTTCCTCCGAAGAGTGACAGAATGAGCAGTTTAAATCAATGTCAGGCTTATATTTCTGAAGACAGACCTTAGTAGGATAACATTTGTGAATTAATTTAAATGTTACTTCTTTTACTTTATTTGTAATAAGATACTTGTGAGGCAAAGTCCATACTTTCTCCCATGGAATATTTTCAATAGTGTTGTTCCAATAAGGTATTACATAAGGGATTGTTATGATCTCTCTCTGAAAGAGGCCTCTAATTTTACAGTTATTTTTTTGTTGGTCTGCTGAAAAACAAACACTTCCAACCATTGTGTCGATTAAATTCAGGGAGTGAGTGTATGGCCATGGTAGTGTGACACCTTGCATTAGAATAAACACGCCAGAAGGGATAGAGTTTACAACAATGGCATATTCACTAGGAGTAGCAGGAATGTTAAACTTCTGCAAGAAATCTGGATAGTTGTAAAGTCTGCCTTCTGAGTTAAAGAGCTGGCCAACTAAAAGAAAGTTGTTTTTAAACCAATTTCCAAGAGCATCTGCTTATGAAAATTGGAGAGTTTGATCGGTATCTTCAAAACATTATAATTACAAAGTAAAAGAAAATTTAAACCACCAACTTTGGAGAAAATATAATTAGGGATAATATTCCAGAGTGAGTGGGGATTTTTAAGAAAGTTTTTGAGCCAATTAATTTTAAAGGTGTTGTTTAACGTAGTAAAATCTAGATAATTCAGTCCTCCTTGTTTTATGGGGTTCATTATTACTGATTTCTTAATTAGGTGAATTTTGTTTTTCCAGACAAATTTATTTAACATGCTATCAATCCTTTTTAATGTTTCTTTATTTACCTCCAAGGAAAGCGCTGCATAGGTCAGTCGAGACAACCCTTCAGCTTTAGAGAGTAAAATTCTTCCTCTTATTGATAAGTCTCTCTGCAGCCACGAATTAAGTTTCTTTTGAGTTTTCAATATTAAAGGATCAAAGTTGAGTTTGCATCTTGTTTTTTGGTCCTTATTTATTACAATTCCTAAGTATGTTATTTGATCTTTCACAGGGATGTTGCATATAATGGGAACATTACAGTTTTTAATTGCCATCAATTCACATTTTTTGATATTTAAATAAAGACCTGATGCTTTGGAAAAGGATTCAATCAGTTTTAAAGCATGAGGGATTTGTGAAGCATCATTCAGGAATAAAGTAGTGTCGTCAGCCAGCTGGCTAATAATAATTTGTCTATCATCAATTGTGATACCTTGTAAATTACTACTAGAAATGTGGAGAGCTAAAAGTTGTGAGGCTAGTAAAAATAAATATGGAGATATAGGACATCCTTGTCTCACTCCTCGTGACAAGCTGAATCTTGGTGATGTTCCAAATTTTAATTTAATACAGCTATTATTGTTTTTATATAATGTGCGAATGGCTCTACAAAAATAATCACCAAAACCAAACTTATCAAGACCTTTAAATATGAATTTGTGTTCGAGCGAATCAAAGGCTTTGTAGAAGTCTAGAAAAAGTAGGAAACTGTCATTAAGTACAAGATCTTCATAATCTAAAAGGTCTAGAACTAATCTGATGTTATTTGTAATATGACGTTTCTCCATGAAGCCTGATTGCGACTCATCAATAATCGAGTTAAGGACATCTTTAATTCTTCTTGCTAAAATAGAGGCTAAGATTTTGTAGTCATTATTTAAAAGGGTGATGGGCCTCCAGTTTTCTAGACATTCTTTATCTTTATTGGGTTTGGCGATCAAGGTGATGACCCCTTGTGTCATAGTTGGTGGAAGAGCCTCCAAATCAAAACTTTCCTCAAACACTTTTAGTAAAAAAGGAGATAATTCCTTATCAAACATCTTATATAGTTCAGCGGTGAGACCATCACTGCCTGGACTTTTATTATTTTTTAAACTTTTGATTGCCTGAAGAATTTCTGATAGAGATAAATCACCCTCACATGCTTCTTTATCCTCTAATGAGATTACTTTGTTTTGATTAATAGATTCAAAAAATAAATTGGCTGAATTATCACAGTATTTTGATGTATACAAATTATTATAAAATTGGGAGCAAAAATGAGCTATCTCCCCAGGATTTTCAAGTAACTTATCGTTTGCTCTAAGTCGAACAATAGAAGCATTTAAGGCATTGGATCTCTCCATCCTGAAGAAATAAGCTGAGTTTTGTTCTCCTTCTTCCAGCCATGTTTTTCTGGATCTGACATAGGCTCCCTTAGCTTTAGTTTTATATAGCTCATCTAATTTATTCTGCAATTTTAAATATTCTGCATTTTGAGCATCTGTCAGTGATTTATTAAAAGAAAAATCTGAAAGTTGTGATAGAATTTTGTCTTCATTTAATCTATTTTGCTTAGCTATGTCACCACCAAATTTTCTAAAAAATTTACCTAGTTCATATTTTAGGAGTTCCCAATTACGTCCATAAGCTTTTTGTGATTTGGCTTTTTCCCAGTAGATGTGAATAATCTCTTCAACCTGTTGCTTGGCCTTTTCATACTTAAGAAGAGAATTGTTTAATTTCCAAATTAGAGATTTATTATTATTAATTGTAGTACTTAGTGACAAATTAATAAAGATGTAAATGGCATTATGGTCAGTCAGTGGACTATTGCTAATAGAAGTAGATGTATTATTGTCTTTTAATGTTTTAGAAATCAACCAATAGTCAATTCTGGATTGTCTCGAGTGATCTTTGTTGCTCCAAGTGTACTGTATTATATCTGGATACATCTCTCTCCATATGTCGACTAAATCAAATTTATCTATAAGCGCTAG